AAGTTTAACGTGTACCACCGGTGGTACACATGGCACGGAACGTGTTAATATACAATGATACATTGTATTTATTATATTTACAATACATAAAATTAAATAAATATAAACTACGTTTATTTACATTTAATTTTTAATAAAATGGAATAAATATGAAACATACTTTGTTAACAAAGAGTCTGTTGATGTATTGATATATATTGTGTTAAACAGCATTATAAAATATGTGCACGCCATAATCCATGATAAGTACTGAATATTAAAAATAAAAGTGTCCGCGAGACTTTCGAGATAGTTTGCGTAATATTCTACCTAATGGGGAAGGATTATTTTAATTTCAACGTTAACATCTTTCTCACGGTTTTCACAAGAGAAACCGAGCGAATGAGATTAAACGTTACGTATTAAGTACAAATATTAAATTCCCCGGATGAATATATCGTTGGAGCTTTGGTAAAATGAAATCAATTGCAGGTGAGCACGACAGCCGACGTGCTGCAGGAAGAGGAAGAGGAATACAGTCCCAGTGTTCAACACGAGTTCGTGACTTTTGATCTTGACGAACCTCTGCCTCCTCCGCCGCCGGTCAGAGCTGGCGAATGGACCTTCGACACGCTGAGAAAAACGACTCCTGTCTGATACACCGTCAGGTATACATTTATCCCTTTCTACCTCTTCCTACCGTGTTTGTCACATTATCGAGAATTTAATTGTATCGCCGTATCACTCGCCGTATTTTCTCGTCGATCGATAGATATCGAGTGAGTGGTTTGTTCGCCAAATTGGAGAATCGTGTAACGCTCGATTCAAAACATTTCATAACGCGTTGCGAAAGTGTTGCGAACGCTTTCCGAACACTCACGGGATCGAACAGTTTCGATCGATCGTTTCTAATTGCAAAGTTTTCACAAAGTTAAATTCTTTGAAAACTCGTTGCCCAAACGTTGGAGAAAGATGATTTCAATGTTTCAACTCGCGTCGCGAAAGAGAAAGAAAACTTCGTTACACTTCGGTACAAAGAGAGAATAGAAAGTTTCGAAGCAAAATTCACCGTCCGACGTGAAATCACGGTATATATATATATACGGATGCACGGGATGAAAATGATCGTTTCACAGAATGAAACGACCGGTTTGTGATTTTCCACGCAGGTACGCGAGGCTGGTGCAAAGCGTTGAAAGCGACGAGGAGGACGACGCGGAAACCGAAGAGGAGGAGGAGGAGGACCACGACATAGCTGGCGATTAAACAAATCGACTCGCTTTTTAATGAGATGCCGTACAACCGTGGGATCGGAAAGCTTTCATCGTTCAAACTCCATTGGAATGCAATACAAAAGCAGACACGGAAGCAACGGAAACTTGGATCGATGGATTATCGAATTTCGGTTCTTAATAATTCGTCTCCTTCCATCACGCGGCATGTAACTTCGTAGCTCAAGACCGTGGGCGAGGAAAAGAAAGAACGAATTACACGATCCATAAGTAAAAGTAATAAGTAAAGTGAAGCAGTATTAATTAAAATACGTATGTACGACTTTTTCCAATTTACTTTGTCCTGTATTTTTTTACTTTGATATTGCCGGTTATCTATGAAAAGGAACACGAACAAGAACATTTCAAGATGATAAACGTGAGAACCATGTTTGTTTGAATGATTTCAATCAGCTAATTGACTGCCAATTGACCTCGAGCCTCCATCATTGTATATGAGATAAATATAATGATTTTTGAAACGAACCGTCCCGTTGAAAGAGGATAAGAATTTCCAAGATATGGAAAAGAGCTTAATGGTAATTGATTTTAACGATCGAATTTCTATTTGTATTTGTACGATTGTTTATGTAGTGTGTAGAATTTTTAGCAAATAATTAGAGAAATTACGGGTTAGTCTTGAATTCGTGAAAAAGGAACTTTCGTTGTTTCGTATTGTGATTGTTGACGCTGTTATAATTTTCTAGTCGTTAGGACTTTGTTTGTATTTGCGTTGATCAGATAGAATTTTTACAGAGACAAACGAAGAAGACGTTTGCCAAAAGACTGCAACATATATCTGCCATAAATGAAAGCAATTGAAATCGATTAAGTCTGTAGGTGCGTAGATGCATTAGTGCGTTTCCAATTTACTCGAACATCCGACGTTTTACTTTTAATACTGTGGGGATCAAAAAGAATTGATTAAAAACAATTTTCAATTTTATTTACGACTAAATAGCGATTGAATGATTCTAACGATTCTTGCAGTTGACCTCAAGTTGCAGGATAAGATCTTCGTAGTGTTAAAACTAAAACGAATGTAAGCTTGTACGAAAAACTGCAATGCCAATGAAAATACTGATTGATTAATTGGAAAAAGGGGACACGAGATTTATGAACGCGATAAACTATATTCACATAGAAATTTGTCCAAATGAGAAAGAAGGAATTGCAACTATGAATTTAAAAGATACAACAGTGATATGTTGACCCTATCACAAACTTGTTAAAACAAACCCATTTAACTAAAGGAAATGTGCTGTACAGAACATATAATATTGTTACATCATTAATGTCTGAGAATTTTTAACACAATTAAATAGTTGATAAGTTTTTTATACAGTAGTCAATTTTC